TGCACATGCTAGGCCCTTGTTCTTGCGATTTTGCACACGCTAGGCCCTTGTTCTTGCAATTTTGCACATGCTAGGCCCTTGTTATTGCAATTTTGCACTCGGTAGGCCCTTGTTCTTGCAATTTTGCACAGGCTAGGCCCTTGTTCTTGCAATTTTGCACACGCTAGACCCTTGTTCTTGCGATTTCGCACACGCTGGGACCTTGTTCTTGCTATTTTGCACACGCTAGGCCCTTGTTCTTGCGATTTTGCACACGCTAGGCCCTTGTTCTTGCAATTTTACACTCGCTAGGCCCTTGTTCTTGCAATTTTGCACACCCTAGGCCCTTGTTCTTGCAATTTTGCACACGCTATGCCCTTGTTCTTGCTATTTTGCACACGCTAGGCCCTTGTTCTTGCGATTTTGCACACGCTAGGCCCTTGTTCTTGCAATTTTCCACTCGCTAGGCCCTTGTTCTTGCACTTTTGCACAAGCTAGGCCCTTGTTCTTGCAATTTTGCACACGCTAGGGCCTTGTTCTTGTAATTTTGCACACGCTAGGCCCTTGTTCTTGCAATTTTGCACATGGTAGGTCCTTGTTCTCGCAATTTTGCACGCGCTAGGCCTTAGTTCTTGCAATTTTGCACACGCAAGGCCCTTGTTCTTTCAGTTTTGCACATGCTAGGCCCTTGTTCTTGCAATTTTGCACACGCCTGGCCCTTGTTCTTGCAATTTTGCACACGCTAGGCGCTTGTTCTTGCAATTTTGCACACGCTAGGCCCTTGTTCTTGCAATTTTGCACTCGCTTGGCCCTTGTTCTTGCAATTTTGCACACGGTAGGCCCTTGTTCTTGCAATTTTGCACACGCTAGACCCTTGTTCTTGCAATTTTGCACACGCTAGGCCCATGTTCTTGCTATTTTGCACACGCTAGGCCCTTGTTCTTGCGATTTTGCACACGCTAGGCCCTTGTTCTTGCAATTTTGCACACGCTAGGCCCTTGTTCTTGCAATTTTGCACACGCTAGGCCCTTGTTCTTGCAATTTTGCACACGCTAGGCCCTTGTTCTTGCAATTTTGCACACGCTAGGCCCTTGTTCTTGCAATTTTGCACTCGCTAGGCCCTTGTTCTTGCAATTTTGCACACGGTAGGCCCTTGTTCTTGCAATTTTGCACACGCTAGACCCTTGTTCTTGCAATTTTGCACACGCTAGGCCCTTGTTCTTGCAATTTTGCACTCGCTAGGCCCTTGTTCTTGCAATTTTGCATACGGTAGGCCCTTGTTCTTGCAATTTTGCACACGCTAGACCCTTGTTCTTGCAATTTTGCACACGCTAGGCCCATGTTCTTGCTATTTTGCACACGCTAGGCCCTTGTTCTTGCGATTTTGCACACGCTAGGCCCTTGTTCTTGCAATTTTACACTCGCTAGGCCCTTGTTCTTGCAATTTTGCACACCCTAGGCCGTTGTTCTTGCAATTTTGCACACGCTATGCCCTTGTTCTTGCAATTTTGCACATGCTAGGCCCTTGTTCTTGCAATTTTGCACTCGCTAGGCTCTTGTTTTTGAAATTTTGCCTACACTAGGCCCTTGTTCTTGCAACTTTGCACACGCTAGGCGCTTGTTCTTGCAATTTTGCACACGCTAGGCCCTTGTTCTTGCAATTTTACACTCGCTAGGCCCTTGTTCTTGCACTTTTGCACAAGCTAGGCCCTTGTTCTTGCAATTTTGCACACGCTAGGGCCTTGTTCTTGTAATTTTGCACACGCTAGGCCCTTGTTCTTGCAATTTTGCACATGGTAGGTCCTTGTTCTCGCAATTTTGCACGCGCTAGGCCTTAGTTCTTGCAATTTTGCACACGCAAGGCCCTTGTTCTTGCAGTTTTGCACATGCTAGGCCCTTGTTCTTGCAATTTTGCACACGCCTGGCCCTTGTTCTTGCAATTTTGCACACGCTAGGCGCTTGTTCTTGCAATTTTGCACACGCTAGGCCCTTGTTCTTGCAATTTTGCACTCGCTAGGCCCTTGTTCTTGCAATTTTGCACACGCTAGGCCCTTGTTCTTGCAATTTTGCACACGCTAGACCCTTGTTCTTGCAATTTTGCACACGCTAGGCCCATGTTCTTGCTATTTTGCACACGCTAGGCCCTTGTTCTTGCGATTTTGCACACGCTAGGCCCTTGTTCTTGCAATTTTACACTCGCTAGGCCCTTGTTCTTGCAATTTTGCATACGCTAGGCCCTTGTTCTTGCAATTTTGCACACGCTAGGACCTTGTTCTTGCAATTTTGCACACCCTAGGCCCTTGTTCTTGCAATTTTGCACACGCTATGCCCTTGTTCTTGCAATTTTGCACATGCTAGGCCCTTGTTCTTGCAATTTTGCACTCGCTAGGCTCTTGTTTTTGAAATTTTGCCTACGCTAGGCCCTTGTTCTTGCAACTTTGCACACGCTAGGCGCTTGTATTTGCAATTTTGCACACGCTAGGCCCTTGTTCCTGCAATTTTGCACTCTCTAGGCCCTTGTTCTTGCAATTTTGCACACGCTAGGCCCTTGTTCTTGCAAGTTTGCACACGATAGACCTTTGTTCTTGCATCTTTGCACACGCTCAGCCCTTATTCTTGCTAATTTGCACACGCTAGGCCCTTGTTCTTGCGATTTTGCACACGCTAGGCCGTTGTTCTTGCAATTTTACATTCGCTAGGCCCTTGTTCTTGCAATTTTGCACACGCTAGGCGCTTGTTCTTGCAATTTTGCACACGCTAGGCCCTTGTTCTTGCAATTTTGCACTCGCTAGGCCCTTGTTCTTGCAATTTTGCACATGCTAGGCCCTTGTTCTTGCAATTGTGCACACGCTTGACCCTTGTTATTGCAATTTTGCACACGCTAGACCCTTGTTCTTGCAATTTTGCACACGCTAGGCCCTTGTTCTTGCTAATTTGCATACGCTAGGCCCTTGTTCTTGCAATTTTGCACACGCTAGGCCCTTGTTCTTGCAATTTTACACTCGCTAGGCCCTTGTTCTTGCAATTTTGCACACGCTAGGCCCTTGTTCTTGTAATTTTGCATATGCTAGGCCCAGGTCCTTGCAATTTTGCACATGCTAGGTCCTTGGTTCTGCAATTTCGCACGCGCTAGGCCTTAGTTCTTGCAATTTTGCACACACAAGGGCCTTGTTCTTGCAGTTTTGCACATGCTATGCCCTTGTTCTTGCAATTTTGCACACGCCTGGCCCTTGTTCTTGCAATTTTGCACACGCTAGGCGCTTGTTCTTGCAATTTTGCACACGCTAGGCCCTTGTTCTTGCAAATTTGCACTCGCTAGGCCCTTGTTCTTGCAATTTTGCACACGCTAGGCCCTTGTTCTTGCAATTTTGTACACGCTAGACCCTTGTTCTTGCAATTTTGCACATGCTAGGCCCTTGTTCTTGTAATTTTGCACACGCTAGGCCCTTGTTCTTGCAATTTTGCACATGCTAGGTCCTTGTTCTTGCAATTTTGCACGCGCTAGGCCTTACTTCTTGCAATTTTGCACACGCAAGGCCCTTGTTCTTGCAATTTTGCACATGCTAGGCCCTTGTTCTTGCAATTTTGCACACGCCTGGCCCTTGTTCTTGCAATTTTGCACACGCTAGGCGCTTGTTCTTTCAATTTTGCACACGCTAGGCCCTTGTTATTGCAATTTTGCACTCGGTAGGCCCTTGTTCTTGCAATTTTGCACAGCTAGGCCCTTGTTCTTGCAATTTTGCACACGCTAGACCCTTGTTCTTGCTATTTTGCACACGCTAGGCCCTTGTTCTTGCGATTTTGCACACACTAGTTCTTGCAATTTTACACTTGCTAGGCCCTTGTTCTTGCAATTTTGCACACGCTAGGCCCTTGTTCTTGCAATTTTGCACACGCTAGGCCCTTGTTCTTATATTTTGCACACGCTAGGCCCTTGTTCTTCCAATTTTGCACATGCTAGGTCCTTGTTCTTGCAATTTTGCATGCGCTAGGCATTAGTTCTTGCAATTTTGCACACGCAAGGCCCTTTTTCTTGCACTTTTGCACATGCTAGGCCCTTGTTCTTGCAATTTTGCACGCGCTAGGCCTTAGTTCTTGCATTTTTGCACACGCAAGGCCCTTGTTCTTGCAGTTTTGCACATGCTAGGCCCTTGTTCTTGCAATTTTGCACACGCCTGGCCCTTGTTCTTGCAATTTTGCACGCGCTAGGCCTTAGTTCTTGCAATTTTGCACACGCAAGGGCCTTGTTCTTGCAGTTTTGCACATGCTAGGCCCTTGTTCTTGCGATTTTGCACACGCTAGGCCCTTGTTCTTGCAATTTTGCATACGCTAGGCGCTTGTTCTTGCAATTTTGCACATGCTAGGCCCTTGTTATTGCAATTTTGCACTCGGTAGGCCCTTGTTCTTGCAATTTTGCACAGGCTAGGCCCTTGTTCTTGCAATTTTGCACACGCTAGACCCTTGTTCTTGCAATTTTCCACACGCTAGGCCCTTGTTCTTGCGATTTTGCACACGCTAGGCCCTTGTTCTTGCAATTTTACACTCGCTAGGCCCTTGTTCTTGCAATTTTGCACACGCTAGGCCCTTGTTTTTGCAATTTTGCACACGCTAGGCCCTTGTTCTTATATTTTGCACACGCTAGGCCCTTGTTCTTGCAATTTTGCACATGTTAGTGTTGAGTTGAGGAGAGAATGATGCACTATGAAACGAAAAACAAGTACAAGTATCAACCCTAATTGGGTTGTACCCCATATGAGCTACCCCACTAAAGCCTACAATACATGCATCAGCTAAATATAATCCGACACAACCCCATAGGCAAAGTGGGGGAGAGCAAGGGGTCACAAGACCAGTCAAGCAAGACAAGCAAAGCAAGCTCAGGGTGGATCTCAAGGATACCACACAAATTCCGAGCACAAGGTCAAGGCCACAAGGCCAGTTCACATGCAGCAGAGCATATATATATAACAGTGCTAAACAAGCAAGAGCAAGGATATATATATGCAGCAGTACAAACAAGGTCAAGAGGTAAGCAAGTGAGGCCCAGTGGGCACAAGACCTAGCAGAGTGCAAAAGCGCTGATGGTCACGAGGCGGAAGTGCCTTGGTGAACACATCAGCAGTGTTGGCCTCAGTGGCCACGAAACGCAGGCGAAGCTGACCACGCTGCTGCAGCTCTCGAGCAAGGAAGTAGCGCAGAGCAATGTGCTTCCTCCTGTGCTCCGGTCTGTGCTCCTGACACAAGGCAATGGTTGCCTTGTTGTCGATGTACAGCACTGGAGGAGAACGAGGCCGCTCTCCAAGGTCGGTCAGCAAGTAGGTGAGCCAGCGAAGCTCCTGGGCAGCCATGGCCGTGGCGTAGATCTCAGCCTCACAGGTGGAGCTGAGAACCGAAGAAGAGCGAGTAGAGCGCCAAGAGACAGAGCCAGAGCCAAGACTGAAAGTGTAACCCTGAGACGACCTCTGAGTAGCCTGGTCGTCAGCCCAAGAAGCGTCTGAGTGCCCAGTGAGCACAGGCCGCTCACGCCCTCCAAGCACTAGCCCCATGCCCGACGTACTGCACAAGTAGCGCAACACCCTCTTAGCTGCATCCATGTGCTCCTTCCAGTGACGGCCGGGAGCAACATAGCGTGCTAAGATGCTGAGAGGGTATGCGAGGTCAGGTCGAGTGCAAGTCATCAGGTACATGAGGCAGCCCACAAGCTCTGGATACGGACCACTCGACTCTACGGACTCATCCGAAGGCAGAGCTGAGAGTGAGTGTCCCGTAGGCAGAGGAGTGGATTGAGGCGAGGAGTACGTGAAGACGAAGCGCTGAAGGACCTGCTGCACCATGTGTGACTGAGTCAGGGTAATGGTGCGGCGTGCTCTGTCCCGGGTGATCCGCAAGCCAAGATAGCTTGTCAGTTCACCCAGGTCTGTGCACGTGTGTCTCTTCTGCAGATCGGACTTTACGTGGGCGAGTGCGGCAGTGTCCGCAGTGGCAAAGACCAAGTCGTCGACGTACACGAGGATGTAGAACGGCGGCAGCGAGGTGTCGGTGCGCAGAAACAGCGACGGGTCAGCAGTGGAAGGAGCAAACCCAAGAGCCGCAAGTGTAGTCCTCAGTGTGTCGTGCCACTAACGCGGCGCCTGGCGGAGACCGTAGACTGGCCGCCGGAGGCTCGACTAGGTACCAGGAGGGAACGACCCAGTGAAACCAGGAGGGCGGCGCAGCCAGATCTCCTCGTGCAGGCTGCCCTGCAAGAAAGCAGTGCTGAAGTCAAGAGAGTGTAGCTCGTAGTCACGCTGAGCAGCGACGTGCAGCAGAACCCGAAGAGTGGTCATCTTCGGGGTCGGGGAGAAAGTCTGAAAGAAGTCAACTCCCTGTCGCTGACTGAAGCCACGAGCCACGTAGCGCGCCTTGAAGACAGGCGGAGAACCCGGTGGCCGCTTCACCCTGAAAATCCACATGCCACTAACAATGTTCGCCCCAGGAGGGGGAACAGCGTCAACGTAGGTGCCTGTGGACTTCCAGGAAGCCATCTCTGCGTCCATGGCTGACTGCCACTGAGAGGAGTAGGGACCGGCCATCGCCTCTGCGTAAAAGCGTGGGGTCGGGATGTCTAGAGCATCCGGGTCTCCCTCAGGGGCAACAAGCATGGACACGAGATGGGGCAAAGCGGCGGCAAAGCTCTGGAACTCCTCCTGCCTGTCCTCAAGGACGTCCGTGCCAAGAGCACAGTCACCCCCGACGGACGGAGGACAGGCAGACGCAGACGCAGACTTAGCAGACTCAGCAGACTCAGCAACAAGACTGGCAGCGTAGTCTAAACGACACGCAGCAGCAAAGTCGACCAGCTCCGCAACTAGGGCAGACGCAGCAGCGGACTCAAAGGAAGGGTCAGTGATAAGAGAAGCAAGAAGATGCGTGACAGTTGGACTGGCAGCACGGCGAGAGTCCGACTCTGGGTCGGCAAGAGTAGGAAGAGAAGACTCAAGAGGAGAAGGCAAAGGGGCACGCAGAGAAGCAGTGGGTGGACGCAGAGACATCCCGTGTGTGCCAGGGAAAGGAGGAGGACGCTGACGCGAACCGCGACCACTTGTGCGAGCAGCCCGGACTGGCGACGCAGGGCGGGACGCAGGCTCACAACGCTCAGCAAGACATCCAGTAGGACCAGTGTAGGGAGAAGGAGAAGGCAGGGGAGAGGCGGGCTGTAACTGTGACTTCGACGGGACAGGCCGTGGACACTCTACGGGAGGAGAAGGACCAGTGGAAGGCGGGAGACCAAGAACCTGCTGGAGGAGCGGAACGAAGTACGGCCGAGGCCGCGCAGCACCGCCAGAGACAGCAGGGACAGCACCAACACCTCCAGAGGCAGCACTAGCACCAGTAGCAGCTCCAACTCCAGCACCTCCAGCAGCGCCAGAAGTACCCTCAGCAGGACCGACAGTCGTAGTCTCAGCGCCAGCACCCGCAGCAGCTCTAGCTCCAGAGGCACCCCCGGACCCGTCAGCTCTAGTGCTCTCAGGACGAGCACCTCCGGGACACGTGGTACCAGCTCCCTCGGCAGCAACAGAACCTCCAGCACCCGCAGCACCCCCAGCTCCAGAAGCTCGCCTCCAGCGCCGGGCAAACTACTCACGCAGCTCCAGAGGAGAGAGAGGCTCGCGGCTCGAACCACCAGGAAGAGAAGCAGCAGGCGCAGCACTCCCAGACGCAGTACCCCCAGGCTCAGCACCCCCAGGCTCAGCACCCCCAGGCTCAGCACCCCCAGGCTCAGTACCCCCAGGCTCAGTACCCCCAGGCACAGCACCCCCAGGCCCAGCACCCCCAGTCTCAGCACCCACAGGCTCAGCACCCCCAGGCTCAGCACCCGCAGCAGCACCAGAGTCACCAGTGACCTCAACAGGCTCGACCGCGTCTACCTGAGACACACTTGAAGGGGCAGGACCCTGAGGGGGGAGGGGGTCTACCGGGGGGGGACCTGGGACCAGGAAGAGGGGCGGTGGGGGAAGGGAGGGAGTGCGGTAGGGGAAGAGCCGGTAGAAGGGAACCGACTCGTCGAACGTGACGTCCTGGGAGGACAGAACACGACGAGAGGTGGGGTGGTAAAACTGCCACCCAGGTGCGTCAGGGGGGAAACCCAGGAAGACGCAAGGAGAAGCACGAGGGGACAGCTTGCCCGCAGACAAGTCGCGGACAAACGTCCGAGATCCCCAGACACGGAACGCCGACGCATCGCGAACCTTCCCCGTCCACAGCAAAGCTGGGGAGGTCTCCGGCCTGGAGACCCTGGGCTGAAGGTTGATCTGATGCGCGGCGTACCTCACCGCAAACGGCCACAGAAAATGGGGGGCAGCCGCATGCACCATGGACATACGGGCGACGTCCATGACAATGCCGATGCGGCGCTCAGCAATCCCATTCTGCTGTGGGGAGTCCGGAAGCGTGAAGGTCTTGCGGATGCCTCGTGCATGACAGTAGGCTCGCAAAAGGCCGGAGGAGAACTCTCCGCCTCTGTTCGAGTGCAGACGCAAAACAGGAAAGTCCGAGCCGAAGCTCCGCCTGAGCTGGAGACGAGCTGCGCGGATCCAGTCGATCAACACCTCAGTGACCTCACCCTTGCTGCGCAAGGGGAAGACCGAGGTGTAACGCGAGTAGTCGTCAACCACCAGCAGGAAGTAGCGCTCGTGACCCTGTCCACGGACGCGGGCTGGGCCCCACACGTCCATGTGAAGCGTCTGCATCGGGGCCTCCATCGGAGGAAAGGGGGAGGAGTGAGGGGTAGCCCGCAGGCGACCCTCGACACAGGGGACACAGGGAGGGCCAGGCCCCGGAGGAAGGGGAGGGAGGGACTACGGAAGACCAGAGACAAGAAGGCGAGAGGCCATGCCCCGGAGACGGGGCAGGGAGGGGTGACCCATCGTGTGGTGCCACAGGAGGTTCTCGTGGGACAGGAGGCGACACGAGTAGGGAGCAGACTCCGGACCAGACCTGGACGCTGCAGCAAACACCTGACCCGACGCAGCTACCTGACCAGACGAAAGAGGAGGAGAGGAAAAAAAAGTTGGCGCGCCTCGGGGCGCGCTTCGGTGGGCCCTAGGCGAAGTTCCCACAGGGAACCCGCTCTGATACCATGTTCAATTGAGGAGAGAATGATGCACTATGAAACGAAAAACAAGTACAAGTATCAACCCTAATTAGGTTGTACCCCATATGAGCTACCCCACTAAAGCCTACAATACATGCATCAGCTAAATATAATCTGACAGCTATGTCCTTGTTCTTGCAATTTTGCACGCGCTAGGCCTTAGTTTTTGCAATTTTGCACACGCAAGGCCCTTGTTCTTGCAGTTTTGCACATGCTAGGCCCTTGTTCTTGCAATTTTGCACACGCGTGGCCCTTGTTCTTGCAATTTTGCACACGCTAGGCGCTTGTTCTTGCAATTTTGCACACGCTAGGCCCTTGTTATTGCAATTTTGCACTCGGTAGGCCCTTGTTGTTGCAATTTTGCACATGCTAGGCCCTTGTTCTTGCAATTTTGCACACGCTAGACCCTTGTTCTTGCAATTTTCCACACGCTAGGCCCTTGTTCTTGCTATTTTGCACACGCTAGGCCCTTGATCTTGCGATTTTGCACACGCTAGGCCCTTGTTCTTGCAATTTTACACTCGCTAGGCCCTTGTTCTTGCAATTTTGCACACGCTAGGCCCTTGTTCTTATATTTTGCACACGCTAGGCCCTTGTTCTTGCAATTTTGCACATGCTAGGTCCTTGTTCTTGCAATTTTGCACGCGCTAGGCCTTAGTTCTTGCAATTTTGCACACGCAAGGCCCTTGTTCTTGCAGTTTTGCACATGCTAGGCCCTTGTTCTTGCAATTTTGCACACGCCTGGCCCTTTTTCTTGCAATTTTGCACACGCTAGGCGCTTGTTCTTGCAATTTTGCACACGTTAGGCCCTTGTTCTTGCAATTTTGCACTCGCTAGGACCTTGTTCTTGCAATTTTGCACACGCTAGGCCCTTGTTCTTGCAATTTTGCACACGCTAGACCCTTGTTCTTGCAATTTTGCACACGCTAGGCCCTTGTTTTTGCAATTTTGCACACGCTAGGCCCTTTTTCTTGCAATTTTGCACACGCTATGGCCTTGTTCTTGCAATTTTGCACATGCTAGGTCCCTTTTTTTGCAATTTTGCACGCGCAAGGCCTTAGTTCTTGCAATTTTGCACACGCAAGGGCCTTATTCTTGCAATTTTGCACATGCTAGGCCCTTGTTCTTGCAATTTTGCACACGCTAGGCCCTTGTTCTTGCAATTTTGCACACGCTAGGCGCTTGTTCTTGTAATTTTGCACACGCTAGGCCCTTGTTATTGCAATTTTGCACTCGCTAGGCCCTTGTTCTTGCAATTTTGCACAGGCTAGGCCCTTGTTCTTGCAATTTTGCACACGCTAGACCCTTGTTCTTGCAATTTTCCACACGCTAGGCCCTTGATCTTGCAATTTTGCACACGCTAGGCCCTTGTTCTTGCAATTTTACACTCGCTAGGCCCTTGTTCTTGCAATTTTGCACACGCTAGGCCCTTGTTCTTATATTTTGCACACGCTAGGCCCTTGTTCTTGCAATTTTGCACATGCTAGGTCCTTGTTCTTGCAATTTTGCACGCGCTAGGCCTTAGTTCTTGCAATTTTGCACACGCAAGGCCCTTGTTCTTGCAGTTTTGCACATGCTAGGCCCTTGTTCTTGCAATTTTGCACACGCCTGGCCCTTTTTCTTGCAATTTTGCACACGCTAGGCGCTTGTTCTTGCAATTTTGCACACGATAGGCCCTTGTTCTTGCAATTTTGCACTCGCTAGGCCCTTGTTCTTGCAATTTTGCACACGCTAGGCCTTTGTTCTTGCAATTTTGCACACGCTAGACCCTTGTTCTTGCAATTTTGCACACGCTAGGCCCTTGTTTTTGCAATTTTGCACACGCTAGGCCCTTTTTCTTGCAATTTTGCACACGCTATGGCCTTGTTCTTGCAATTTTGCACATGCTAGGTCCTTTTTCTTGCAATTTTGCACGCGCAAGGCCTTAGTTCTTGCAATTTTGCACACGCAAAGGCCTTGTTCTTGCAGTTTTGCACATGCTAGGCCCTTGTTCTTGCAATTTTGCACACGCTAGGCGCTTGTTCTTGTAATTTTGCACACGCTAGGCCCTTGTTATTGCAATTTTGCACTGGCTAGGCCCTTGTTCTTGCAATTTTGCACAGGCTAGGCCCTTGTTCTTGCAATTTTGCACACGCTAGACCCTTGTTCTTGCAATTTTCCACACGCTAGGCCCTTGTTCTTGCTATTTTGCACACGCTAGGCCCTTGTTCTTGCGATTTTGCACACGCTAGGCCCTTGTTCTTGCAATTTTACACTCGCTAGGCCCTTGTTCTTGCAATTTTGCACACGCTAGGCGCTTGTTCTTGTAATTTTGCACACGCTAGGCCCTTGTTATTGCAATTTTGCACACGCTAGACCCTTGTTCTTGCAATTTTGCACGCGCTAGGCCTTGGTTCTGCCAATTTTGCACACGCAAGGCCCTTGTTCTTGCAGTTTTGCACATGCTAGGCCCTTGTTCTTGCAATTTTGCACACGCTAGGCCCTTGTTCTTGCAATTTTGCACATGCTAGGCCCTTAATCTTCTAATTTTGCACACGCTAGTCCCCAGTTCTTGCTACTTTGCACACGCTAGGCCCTTGTTCTTCCAATTTTGAACATGCTAGGCCCTTGTTCTTGCAACTATGCACACGCTAGGCACTTGTTCTTCCAATTTTGCACACATTAGGTCCTTGTTCTTCAAATTGTGCACACGCTATGCCCTTGTTCTTGAAATGTTGCACATGCTAGGCCCTTGTTCTTGCAATTTTGCACATGCTAGGCCCTTGTTCTTGCAATTTTGCACACGCTATGCCTTTGTTCTTCCAATTTTGCACACGCTAGGCCCTTGTTCTTGCAATTTTGCACACGCTAGGCCCTTGTTCTTCCAATTTCGCACACGCTAGGCCCTTGTTCTTGTAATTTTGCACACGCTAGGCCCCTGTTCTTGCTACTTTGCACACGCTAGGCCCTTGTCCTTCCGATTTTGCACACGCTAGGCCCTTGTTCTTGCAATTTTGCACACGCTAGGCCCCTGTTCTTCCAATTTTGCACACGCTAGGCCCTTGTTCTTCCAATTTCGCACATGCTAGGCCCCTGTTCTTGCTACTTTGCACACGCTAGGCCCTTGTTCTTCCAATTTTGCACACACTAGGCCTCTGTTCTTGCAATTATGCACAAGCTAGGCCCTTGTTCTTCCAATTTTGCACACGCTAGGCCCTTGTTCTTGCAATTTTGCACACGCTATGCACTTGTTCTTCCAATTTTGCACACATTAGGCCCTTGTTCTTCCAATTTTGCACACGCTAGGCTCTTGTTCTAGAAAATTTGCACATGCTAGGCCCTTGTTCTTGCAATTTTGCAAATGCTAGGCCCTTGTGCTTGCAATTTTGCACACGCTATGCCTTTGTTCTTCCAATTTTGCGCACGCTAGGCCCTTGTTCTTGCAATTTTGCACACGCTAGGCCCTTGTTCTTGCAATTTCGCACACGCTAGGCCCTTTTTCTTGTAATTTTGCAGACGCTAGGCCCTTGTTCTTGCAATTTTGCACTTGCTAGGTCCTTGTTCTTGCAATTTTGCACGCGCTAGGCCTTAGATCTTGCAATTTTGCACATGCAAGGCCCCTGTTCTTGCTACTTTGCACACGCTAGGCCCTTGTTCTTATATTTTGCACATGCAAGGCCCTTGTTCTTGCGATTTTGCACACGCTGGGCCCTTGTTCTTGCAATTTTACACTCGCTAGGCCCTTGTTCTTGCAATTTTGCACACGCTAGGCCCTTGTTCTTGCAATTTTGCACACGCTAGGCCCTTGTTCTTGTAATTTTGCACACGCTAGGCCCTTGTTCTTGCAATTTTGCACATGCTAGGTCCTTGTTCTTGCAATTTTGCACGCGCTAGGCCTTAGATCTTGCAATTTTGCACACGCAAGGCCCTTGTTCTTGCAGTTTTGCACATGCTAGGCCCTTGTTCTTGGTATTTTGCACACGCTTGGCCCTTGTTCTTGCAATTTTGCACATGCTAGGCGCTTGTTCTTGCAATTTTGCAAACGCTAGGCCCTTGTTCTTGCAATTTTGCACTCGCTAGGCCCTTGTTCTTGCAATTTTGCACACGCTAGGCCCTTGTTCTTGCAATTTTGCACACGCTAGACCCTTGTTCTTGCAATTTTGCACACGCTAGGCCCTTGTTTTTGCAATTTTGCACACGCTAGGCCCTTGCTCTTGCAATTTTGCACACGCTAGGCCCTTGTTCTTGCAATTTTGCACACGCTAGGCCCTTGTTTTTGTAATTTTGCATACGCTAGGCCCTTGTTCTTGCAATTTTGCACATGCTAGGTCCTTATTCTTGCAATTTTGCACGCGCTAGGCCTTAGTTCTTGAAACTTTGCATACCCTAGGTCCTGTTCTTGCTACTTTGCACAAGCTAGGCCCTTAATGTTCTAATTTTGCACACGCTAGTCTCCTGTTCTTGCAACTCTGCACACGCTAGGCACTTTTTCTTCCAATTTTGCACACATTAGGCCCTTGTTCTTCCAATTGTGCACACGCTAGGCCCTTGTTCTTGAAATGTTGCACATGCTAGGCCCTTGTTCTTACAATTTTGCACATGCTAGGCCCTTGATCTTGCAATTTTGCACACGCTATGCCCTTGTTCTTCCAATTTTGCACACGCTAGGCCCTTTCTCTTGCAATTTTGCACACGCAAGGCCCTTGTTCTTCCAATTTTGCACACGCTAGGCCATTGTTCTTGCATTTTTACACACGCTAG